GGGCTTATAATTAATTATTTATTTGTTTTAGTCTCCTCAGTGTGCAGGTCAAACCAACTCAATGCACCATTGTTGTGCAAACCATTGGGAATAAATTTGTATGAGAACTAGGGAGACAAAGATTAATACTAATAAATAATATCTGTGACAGATAAAATTATGTGTAGCAATGAGGAGGCCATTAAATGCAGGGCAGCATCAATCATGTTTTGCTTGTGATTTGAAGGAAAAATGTAAAAAATTTGTATGGAGTCCACACTATCAATTGGTAAGAATCTATTGATAAGACTATCTTTTGCCCATGTGAGCTGACACAGTCCCCTAGATTTCTGTGAGATTTTGACAATGTATATCTAATAGTATCTTTATATAGCTGTGTATACTGCCTTTTCAGGACTCCAAAAGATTTAATTTATTATGAGGCAATACTGACTGTGCAACGCTGTCTCAGAGGAAAACTTCATAACTATGCAATAGAGGGTGTTAAACAACAAGCAGGGCAAAATGACCTAATGGGTCTTTTCTATCTGTTGTGGTTTGAATCTCTTAGCAAACACTTTGAAGCTGACAGAACCAAAGCAAAATCATGAGAACATAAAGAAGGCAAACACAAAGTAATGCACAAAGATTAAAAAAGAAAGGAGCACAGATATCCTGAGATAAACTTTTAGTAGGCCTCAAATACTTCTGCTGTTCCATTAATAAACCAGAACATGCTAAAACCACAAGGAATTAGGAAAAGCATAACCATTCCTGGGTGTTGTACCTCTCACTCCCAAAATTTGGTGAACATAGACATTGTAAGTTTGTACTAGGACTGAGATAGGAACTGGAGCACAGCTATAGAACTTGGCAAAGGTCTTGTGTCATGTAGATACTTTGAAATTGTAGTACAATTTTAAGGAAAGTAGGAGTAAGCACTGTAAGTGCTGTACAGTCACTGTAAGTGCTGTACAGTCACTGTAAGTGACTGTATTTCACTATATACAGAATATATCAAACATCTTAGAGAACCTGCAAGTAGGTAAATGGCTCCCAGACACAGAGTGCTGATTCTTATGATGCAGTGTGTTTTCCCAAATTAAACTTTTCCCGCTTAAGAGTGTTGGATTCCCTAAGAACCTTATAGGGTCATTTAAAATCTAAATTGTTGGAACTTTCCCAAACTTAAAAACTGTTCAGGAAAGAGAATTTAGGTTGAGCTAATCTCTAGATAAGTTTATTTGGGTTGTAGGTCTCTAATCTGTAGGAGGGACCTACAAGGAGCATGCATAATTTGTGTTATGTACTGGGAAAGCAGAAAATTAAAAAATAAAGTCAACAAGATGCTACCAGAACTCATTAGGAGCCAATAAAATCAGATTTAAAAGAAATGGCAGGACCAGTTACATGAAAAAATGGGAATTGTTCGCATTGTTATCAGCTACTTGCAAGGCAGTCACCCTTGTAATTCATACAGCATGGGATAATGAAACAGAGATGAGGAGTCAAGGACAACCCTGGACAAAATTACCCATGTCCAGATTTAGATCAAAAGCAGTCTTAAGACAGGATGGCACAACACGTCCTAACTGAGAATATAGAGGCAGACAAATTGAGATCCTGAGCAACTGAGAGATGACAGATTTGATTAGTTAGGAGGGATCGATGGTAGATCGATATGCCCAGCAAAGGCCCAGGACAGCATGAATTTGATCTTCCATGTGGGCTTCTCACTCTTCATGACTTTGAAGAGCAGGATTCTGCATGAATGCATTTTCATGCATGTCTCCATGCACGTGAGTGAGCATTGCATGACTGAATGACTGCAGAGGGGATAAACTGAGAAACTTCTTACACACTTTTCTGGTGTATAAATGTGAGCTGAGTGAATTTAAAAGAGTACATTCATGCATTTGGGAAAGAATATTAAAGAAGACTCCGAGATTTCAGTATTTAAGAGTCAGGCAATGGATATATCTGCCATTAGGTTAAGTTGGAACAGCTTCACAGAAATGAATGGAGGAGGGTCTAAGAGCTATGTAGGTACAAAGGACAATAAAAACCCAACCCATCATGGTTCAAGTTAGCCTTAGGAGTCATACAGAACAGATCTTTTGAGGGCATCTCAAAGCAAGCAGCTACCTGCAAGATAGAGATGTGAACAATTCATAGGCTAACTTCCAATCTTTGTGATTATGAGAGGATTTCCTTTGCCAACATCTGAGCAGGGGAGTGAGGGTTAACCCTTGAACATAGCTATAGCAGGCAAATCTTTTGAAACCAGTTTATCCCAGTTCCAGTAACTGCACAATGTTCAGTGCCTGTGAGATGCAAATATCAAGTTTATGATTAACTGTGTTAAATTCCATGGAACTGCAAGGACTTTTATTTGTTTGTATAAAGAAATTGAGACAATGCACCCTTTCCTTACTAGGCTTTCACTTTAATAACTTTTAAGAGAAAATCTTCTACTGGATGCCTGTGCTATATCTTTAGATTTCCAAAGAGTTTTTCTTCGCATCCTTTAGTTGGAAGGGGAGTTAGTTAGCACACTATCTGCCAGGGAATATGCATGTCTGATGCATGTGTGACCCGAAATATCATTCTAAGGAAGATGAGGGATAGAATAAGCAAATATTTAACACTGACCCCATTGGAAGTCAGCTGGTTCCCGCTACAAAACTGGCTCTGTGGAGAGAGACTTTCTCTAAGCAGGAGATAGAGAGGATTTCAGAGGCCTGGGTTAGTCCTCTGGATTCTGTCAGAATATTTCAGCAATTTGCCTCTCAAGGTTTCTCAGTCACAATGCTAAGGAGGCTACGCTTCTTGAAACACTGTAAAGATGCAACACTACCAAGATGAGCACATTCCTGTTCATGAGGCATTCCAAGTTCCAGTGGTTATGTCTAGAGATGAAGACTCTGCAGAGTTTATTAGAGATGCCATAAAGGGAGATCTTGGATATACCAGACTGTATACCAGGCTATTGTACTAGCACTTATCATGGTAATCAAACTTGAGGCGGACAGAAGTTCAGCCTTTATCCTTGGAGTTCTGTTGCATTAGTATTTGAGGTGAGCTGTTCATGTCTGATAATCCTAATATTTTCCAGATGCCTTTTACTCAGCAAATATTTCATGTTTCTTTTCCTTACATCTGGCACGTTGTTCCCAGATTATAGCACATATACATCACTTTTTCCAGGACAAGGGGCCAAAGTAATTCAGTCCTGTGGATGTTTGCACTGAGGAGCTTCATCTGCCTCTTACAAACCAGACTATTCAATCTGGGAGGTTACATTGTGAACAGTATCACAGGCACTGCACTGAGGCACACTGACATGAAGCTGGCACCTCATCACCCCTGTATAGGGTTACCACACAACATTGCATTAGTCAGAATTAATGACTTGATTTATTTAGAAAGAAAAACCTTCTCCCGTGTTTCTCCCATGCCCTTTCTGAAATGGCTTTTAGCAGCTGGCATTCTGCATCTGTGGGAGGAAAGAATGAGAAGAATTGTAGTGACTTTAATAGGATTTATTCTGTGGCTTGCAAACTGGGCTCAGTGACCCACAGCAAAACAGCCCTGAATTTCAAAGGAGTGAGTCTCTCCTTGAGCTGCTCCCTAAGACAGTGAAAGCTTTGGAGCTGGAGTTGTGATCTCCAGGAAACTTCATCACTGGTCTCATGCCCTGCAGGAGATGCTTCTACTTACATGCAGACGTATTAAGAGGCAGCAATGCCTCTTGCAATCACCCCACTGGTGGGAATCAGTCCCCCACTGATTCAGGAGACAGGTGGCTTTATCATGCACCCCTACACACGTACACACACTGCAGAAATGCCTCTCCAGAGCACACCTGAGGGAAACACCTACTGAGGCTGCCAGATCTGGAGGAAAGAATAGACAGAGGCTTTCAGTCAATTTCTGTACTAGGAGATTACAGCATTGCTGCCAAAATGGATTGGATATTCTGTTCTTTCTGCCAGGTACATAATTTAGTTAAAGGTCTTGATGGTCTAATCTAAATGGGGGGCAGGCAAAAGATCTGTAGATCTGAGCATTCTTGCATATGGACAGAAAGAGCACAAGGATCATGTTCTCAGATCACAACACAGGAAACACAGGAAAATAAGTTAGTATTCCCAAGATTTATAGAAGAAGAAATGGAGTGGAGAAGAAAAAGGAAGAGGCAGAAAAAAGTGGGAAAATACAAAGAGAAGTTTCCAACTTCATAGGAAATGGTATGGTCACTTTCCATATCTTTTTTCTCCACCATACATTTGATTGTATGTTTTATTTGCTTTTTATATTTTTAGATGTTCTGCAGTGGTCCTTTCTGGCTTAACCACTCTGTGATTTCATAGGACACTTCAGGCTCCCAGGGACCTCAGAATGTGTCTAGTTTAGCTTCCTGTTCAAACCAAGCCAGGTAAGTGATCAAACCAGGTTGCTGTAGGCTTTAGGGGGTTTTTGTCCCTTTAAAGCAGTTTCTTGGTCAATTCATGTATTTCATGAATTAAAACTACTGTTATAATTATCATTGTAACCAGTCTATCATCTAGACTAGTTTTAAACATTCCTCAGAATGGTGCTCATACCTCTTCCTTTACAGATTCTTCAGAGATTTTTTCACATTCTCACCAGAAATTTATTCGGCTCAGTTTTGCCCTGATCATGTTGAAAAATATACTCCAGTTATAATCCACTGTCATAGTCCTCTCACCATGTCATTTCATCTTCTAAACTGTACTCCATATCTCTTTTCACATCTCCAATAATACTGGTAGGTAGAGGCACCAAGGCACCATAAAATCCATTGTCCATAAGGATACGAGTTGAAAGAAAGCAGCCATCTGTTCATGTGCAATTGTGTGCAGTAAAAATATAACAGAAGCATATTCCCCTGAAAATAGTGGTAAATTATATGTGAGTCCAACCACTGTTAAATATTACCTTCAGCATTTTTCTCTACATAGCATAGTTGCATAAAACAGATTCCATTCCCAGCACCCAGTCTCATCCCTGGAAAATCAATGGCAGTGGACGCAGGTAAGCCATGATATGTTCATACATTGTTTCATTGAAAGATGCAACAAAAAAGAAATTATACTAGGACTTGAAGGCATATCAGCCATCTTACTATTCCAAACATTTATCACATAAATACTGTAGCATATGAATTTGATGTGACTTTCTAATGACATAATTCTTCATGGAATGTGATTTGTTTATAATAATAAGAAATATAGAATGTGTCATAGAATCCTGGCATAAAATAATTTGGTATGCAGCTTCTAAGGCAGGAACATAATGCTTCTATTTGCTGTCACTGAACTGTCATTATTAAAATAATGAAAAAGATGGGGAAAGAAGGGGATAGAGACTGGCAATGATCTATGAAGCACCATTTGGTAACTATTACTATTCTTTGAGATGCAAGTTGAAAACCTGTGTGTAAAATGAAGACCACATTTTAGAATCACCATCAAGATCAGATTTCAATAATTTAAAATTCAGAATGAATTTCTATTTTATAAATACATGTATTATATATATACATATAATTTTGACTGAAATTTATCTGAATAGAAGTGACCATTTGCAATATTGAAAGTGAACAAAAGCTTTAAACTATACCATGTTTTTGTATAGACAGCTGAGAGCTGATAGAAAGAATTATTTGCTGTTCACTTCTGACAGACTGCACTGTTAGTAGCCAAGCTAGCATATTCAAAAATTCACCTTCACTGGATTTTTAAATGCCCTGTTAACATGGACTCTCATTCCCAGTCATGGATTTCACAGCCTGGTGGCCTGGGAGCAGAGGAAGGAGCCCGAAGAGCACAGCGATGCTCTGATGATACTCATTTCAGCCCTGGGGCTGGCTCAACTCTTGGGTGCTGCATTTGGCTATTTAAAATCAGCTCCTCTTTACTACTACCCAGTGGTGTCACTGCAAATAGCTACATCACCTGGCATTTTTCAAATGGTTTCAACTGCAAATTTTATAGACAGATGAGTCCCTTGGACATAGGTATGAAAATAACAAATCTCCTGTACGAAAGGACAATAAATCATGACTCAGGTGACTCACTCCCTGCATAGAGGACAGAAAATGAAAGAGTACGCCTTGAATAAGAACTGACTGAGACCTGAGTGAGACCAGTTACTGAGATAATTAGCTAAGGTCTTTTCATTTATACATTAATGAACCAGAAGATCAAAGACTTTGGCTAGGGCTGTAACCACGACTGCAACATTGTCTTGCTATGCAATAATGAACTCGTTATTGGCTGCTTTCATAAATTACATGTGGTAGACTATTTTATTTTTAATACTGTACATAAAGCACAAAAACAACTACAATGTTGCTTTAGAAAATTTTAATTGCTAAGCACGCACTTTCATGTAATAAGCACATTCTTACTTTCAGCTGATTGCTGCTACCAATTTTGTCCTTTCACTGGAAATTTCCTGACAGGTGGCAAACCTTCTCTTATTTTGTGGAAGAAAGGGGAAATAAGTGACTGAATGACCGAAGTGAACTTGAAGTATGTTGCATCACTTGAGAAAAATCTATAAAATCTACCTCAGAGGTAGGAAAAACAGATTAACATGCTAAGATTATGTAAGATTGAGAAAAGTAAATGTTCTAACACTCAACTTCACCCTATCTTTTTGTTCCAGCATGTTTCTGCTATTTAACATATTAAGGACAGTTATGTCTGGACCCACGACCACAGAGTTGATGTTTAGCTTGGAAAATTATGTATGTAAGGCTCTGGAGTTGATCTTAGGAAATCTGGAATGTTTTTCTACTGTAGACTTTCTGCAACATTGAAGACAGGTTATATGATATTTATCTTTCAGGTCCAGAGCTGTAAAGTGCTGTATCATTTTACACAGCTGGGAGAATAAATGTATAAATGTTCACAATCTATAGTTGAGAAAAGTTTACAAGCCCACATCTAATTGAAATTTCCAGATAAAATCACAGCAGTTCATGAAGGAAGTTGTTGACTGTTACTGTTGGCAATAAGATGTGATATGGAGAAAAACTTTGTCACAAATGGGCAAGTTATTATTATGTGGGCATGTTAGTATATGCTCTCCTTTAAAACGGCGTAAGAAAGAAAGATATTTTATCTGTTGGCAAAGTTTCTGATGCAAAAATGATATATTCACATTTATTTATGACCCACTCAGAAGATCTGACACTGCTGGGGAGAAGTTTAAGCTTAGGCATTAAGCCATCAGTTGCTACAGTAACAGCAATTATTCACTGCTCTGGGACATAGGGTAAACCTGACACATTGATTGCCACCCCCTCCTCCCCCTCCACCCCCTAAATTTTTTTACTTAATGATTTACCTTCAAGCCGGTGATCGGATGATTCACAACTCAGATGAGAATAAGGGCGAGTGAATCCCAACATCGAACAGTTTATTCAAAAACTCTTTTCTCCTGGAAATTATCCACAAGGTAACATTTTTCCATGTGCTTCATTAATTTGAATTGCTCTGCAAACTTTTGTCAACCCCCACAGTTCTCACCAAGTATTCACCAAAGCTTTTGTTTCCAGCATGACTATTCATAATGTCTTATTCATCTGTGACCTCAGTAACATGTTATGGTTGTTTTTCTCCCTAACTGGATGACTTGAAAACCCACAAAGAAGAAGGCTGCAGGAACACTTCCACCGAAAATACTCGAGCATGTCAGAGCATGTCATTGCAGAAGTGTGGCTAGGTGGATGTTTATGGCTTGTCCCTATTTCACAAACTCTGTAGTAAACAAAATGGCAAAGCCAAATGCAAAGTCCAGCAAGTACGGTCCTGGGTTGTTATTAAAATATACATTCCCAAAGCTCTTTGAATGACTTCAAAGTTCCCTTGAGAAAGACATGGAGAAACTCATCATTGCTTCACTAATGTGTAAAACCTGTACAGTACAGTTTTGGTGTGCTCTTCTCATGTCCTCGAGAGAAAAAGGGATGTGGTTGAGAGACCTTCAGCTGGATGTAGCTCCCCAGGAAATGCTCACAGCCTGTAAATGAAGCTTCCCCCATAGGAACTTTAATGTCCCAGTGTGTGCTGTCACTGCCAGTGCTGCAGAGTGCCTTCTACACTGCCTTTGGAAGTCTTTTGCCAGGATTTTAGTGGTGAACAAGAACTTGGTCTAGACACTGAGCTCTTTTTGTTAAACAAACCGAATGTTTACTGTAGTGTCTATGGAAAAAATAAAAAATAAATAAACAAAAAAACAAACAAAAAAAACACAAAAAAAACCCAAAAAAACAAGAGCAAGAAAAGAAGAAAAGAGCCTCCTAGCACCTAACACCCAAATCTAAATGCAGAGAGCAAAGTCAGAAAATGTGTGCCATCAGCTTCAAGGACACCAGCAATCGATACCATGGCTGCATGCCAGGAACACTGCCCATCTGAGCTGCATAGCTGGAGGCTTCCTGGAAAACACGTCCTTTTTTTTCCTCACCAGCTCTGAATCACAGCTGTTCCTTGGTAGTCTTTTGGAGTCAGAGTCCTCTGCTTCCTCAGAAGGTCCTGCTTCACCCCACTCCAGCACTAGCTTCTGTAGCCTGCTAATTTCAGTGTTGAGATAAAGCTAAGGTGTTAGGTTAACCTGCCACTCCCTTTGTCAGTGCAGGACTATCTTCATTATATTATATGAGTCTATGAAACATCAAAAAACTGTTTCTCTCTGTAACTTTTAGCCCATTAATTATCAGTAAGCATCAAGAGTCCAAATTGCTCCAGCCCAGCAATGGAGTTATGCTTCCATTGTCCCCATTTGGCTGGTGCAGGGAGGAAGCAGATTTCTAGACCTGTTCCAGATCTTAACATTGCCTTTTCTTCTGCCTACCCATGCCTGAAATTGGTAATGAGAAAGCTATTCATTTCTTTGCTCTCAATACAAAGCATTGTATTAGCCTGCTGTCACTTTGAGTGCTAGCTTATCTCTCTCCACCTGCAATTAAAATGTCCAAGGAAGGGCATCACAGTCTTAAACTGCACCTTGAGATAAAACCCCTTTTTGTTGGATTAACTCTTCTGCACACACACTGCACAATTTGCATTCTTGCATCACAAACAAGTATTTCCTGCAGTTCTATTGTCCCATCCTCATCAGAATTCTGGCTGTTTCTAAATCAATTTTCACACCGACCATTCAATGCTCAGTTTGTCCTCTGGCAAAAATCATTCCCAAAGACATGTGAATCAAGCCATTCTGAATGGGAAAGAAGGAATACCTTTAGCCACAAATACTCTAAAGGGTTGTTGTTTTTTGGTTTGTTTTTTTTTTCTCTTGGGTAGTGAACCATATGAGAGCATAAATTCTTCCAGTAATTTTCCTTCTCCTATAAATGCATCATACTATTAAGGCAGCTCAACAGTGAAGATGAGAACACTACAATGAATTCTTTCTGAAAGGAAGCAAATGTCTGGGTGGAAAAAGATCAAAGTGAAATAGGCTTTCCAATCTGTACTAACACACTGATCTTGAGCCATAACATTTACTGTCATTAATTCGCGAAATATTTGGCACAAAGACATGCAATGGCCATGTCTCTAATCAGAACTGTGGGAGAGTATCTTTGCTCCTGTTAGCTTAAAAGAGGATCTGACCGTGAAGGTTAGAACATCCAGGCACTTGAAAATGTGGGACATACAAACCTCACAACAGGTGACATGATCTGATGCATCACCAAGACATCAAGGAAAATTAAACTTAGGATGAGTCTCAAGGTCTGTGCAATCAGTCACCCTTCCTGCACATGGGCAGAGAGTGAAGAAGCTGTTTCTAGGACACCAATGCAAGGAAAAGAAGAGAAAGAAGTAGAATGGAATTGTAGTTCCACTTTTAGCAGAAGTCCCAACCGTTTTTAAGCTGGCTTTTGATCTATGGATGTAAGGACTTAAGTGAATTAGCAACGTCCAGCAAGAGAGAATAGGACATTGCAGTTACAATGCTTAGGTTTGTTATAGCCATCTAGTTTCACTGAGGTTTTCTTTACTCATTTTAATTCTATTTTAAATCATCTGTTGTTTCAGAGTCACAAAATGCATTATGGAATTGCAAGCTAAAGCCAAGGCATACCCACTCAACAGTGACTCACTGTGCAGCCTGGGCAAGTGTGTGTCTCAGTTCAGGAAGAGGTGAATGGGGCAGTGATAGTTCTCAGTCTCATAAAACACTTCAAGAACTTCCTGTGAAAAGGAGTAGCTCTGTCACTGCCTCAGTCGCTTACCTGCCTCCTTTCTAGCCAAGTAACATAGGAAGAGCAAAGGACAAAAGCCCTGCAGAAAACTAATTCCTCCTGCTCAGCATCTGTTTATATCAGATGTTGGAACCCTCACACATCCCTTCCTGCCACATCTGGTAAGTGTATCTCCTCCACAAGGCCAATAAAGCACCATCCTGGGGGAGTGGGAGGTGGGGTGGGGACTGACAGTAGGAAAAATATACTGAGAGGGAGAAAGAAATTAAGTGAAAGCCTTACAGCAAAGTATATGTTCACTTATTTCAGGAGTTTTCTTAATAGCAGGTCCATGAAAAAGGCAGAGGGGAGGGCTGTGGAGGGCTGTGAGCAGGTTGACAGCTGAAGAATGGGGCTGCAGCTGGCTCTGCTATGCCCAGTAAGCATCCAGTGGCTGGAGGCTTGTCAGGTCCCAGGAGCGTTCCTTGTGGGTCAGTGCCTTTGCTCTTCTGTGTTGATCCATACATCCAAAATGGCAGAGAAAAAGTAATGGGACATAGTCTAAACTTTTCATACTTTTAGTAGAGATAAAGAAGCTTTTACAACATCCTTTTCTGGCTGTCCTCCTGGTCCTAGATAAAAGTGGAAGTTACAAGTGTACTTTGGTGATCTGCTCTGGGTGAGCCGAAGTGCCTTGGCTCTGGCTGGTGCGAGATCAAACCCTCTGCAGGGAACAGTGTCAAGGTAAGAGCAGCGAGTGCACTGGAAAACACAGGCTGCAGACACTATAGAATCAGTGCTGTTTCCTGCTTGACTCAGCCTTTGTTTTTAATTTGGTATTGTGATCCACTTGTTTACACTGATAGAGACCTAGTCTGGATAAACCAATCCATGATTTCCAAACAGCTAACACATTCCATCACGGGTCATAATCCCACGCTTGATTGATCCATCATGGCCTATAACAGTCATGCCAGTCTGTGGAATTGCACCCATTTCTTGCTTTGCTTGTCTCAGACAGTGCCACAAAGGTGAATGTGAATGGTGGTAACAAAGCACTGGGTTGTGCTGACGCAACGTGATTGGGCTCAGCTGCAATATCACAGTTTCATAATGCAGAAGGCTTTGAAGAACCAAACAGACCCCAAACAGCCTGTGAAGCACAGCTGCAGGTCAGAGCTGGGAGAGCAGTGTTGGCCAGAGGGAGACCAGGTTGGCCAGAGCAATGCATCCAGGTGAATGGGGTGGGTAGAGACAGATGCAGAGGGTTTGATACAGACAGGTAGTACTCGATAGAAAGAGGAACTTCAGGACAAGGGAAGGAGCACCATCTGGTGGAAAACAGGTCAAAATTGAAAGCAGTGATTCTCCTGATCTTTTCTTCGTCACCTGGCAAAGAACAATGGAATTACTATCGCCTCTAACTCACTTTGGACAGCTCTGGTAAACCCTGATTTACTTTTCACAGAATATCAGATCTGTCTCAATGCATGTAATCTGTGCAGCTCATCACATGACATAAAAATGAGTCTCTGAGTCTGGGGAAGCTTGAAGTTTTAGGATGGTTTTGATCTGAATTCTTAAGCAGAATCAGATCCAGGTATGACATGTTTGTTTGGTTTTTTTTAATAAAGTCTCCTCTTTTCTCACCTGACCATTTCCACTGAACCTGTGGTGTCCTTGGGACTCGAACTCATGTGTTAAATAAAGTTAAAACTGGTCAATAGCTAAAAAAGGTCCAAGGAGGCAAACAGAAAAGATGCACATGAACTGAGATACACATTACCTTTCTTAGGAAACAAGAGTCCAAACAGAAGAAGAAGAATGTGAGCCATTGGTTCACCCTCTTTTTTGCAATGAATGGATCTCAGTCTATTGATAGCAGAGTATTTCTGCAAGAGTATTCAACACAGCAGCAAAACAACACAAGCAGCTATTTGGTATACAATTCAGAAGAACTAAGTGCAACATTCATTAAAATTAAGAGAATGTGTTAGAAGTCCATTCCACTGATTCTCTAATTTGGAAAAAAGAAAACATCAAGCAGTAGTTTCAGAGTTTAATATTGAGCAAACACCATTTAAAGTTTCTACAGTAGTGAAGATCCAAGGGTCACCTGGAAAGAAACTTCAGAATCAGCAGCTTTTCAAATTACCTTAGAAGCAGGCTGTGTCAAGTTTCTTAAACTGTTCCCTCAGTTAGGGTCAGTTTTTTTCCTCACTTTGATTTTAACAGCATTTAGCTCTCTTTATCTGTATTCTGTCCAGCCACTTGCTTGCTCCCTGTTGGTGGGAAAAGTGAGAAAACTCATCAATTGCAATAAACTCAGTTTATTAGGTAAAGCAAAAGCTGCACATGCAAGCAAAATAAAACAAGGAATTAATTCACCACTTCCCATCCACAGGCAGGTGCTTGGCCCTTCCCAAGAAAGCAGGGCTGTGTAACAGCTACTTGGGAAGACAAACACTGTAACTCTGAACATGTCCCCCTTCCTTCATCTTTTCGTGGATTTATGGGTGACCATGATGTACAATATGGAACCTGATCAAATCTCACTGTCGTACCTTTGCTTGTTTACTGTGCTGGGAACCACTTACACAATAGTAACAGTTGCACAAGGAAATAAGCCCTTCTGTGTTTTCACAGTTCTAACAACAGACGTATGCATTCCTTTAAAATCCACTCTCTAATTTGGTTTGGGGATGTTTCTTTTTGCACTTGTGTATTCCTTCAGTAGAAAAACAAGACCTCCTTTTTTTTGTTGTTGTTTTTTAGCTGGAAAATCACAGTTCAATGGCTGAAGTACTCTCTTACCTGGATTATCATTTTGGACATCTTCTGCTCTAAGAAGCTGTTTGCCCATCCTGCTGTTACCACTTAGCTTCACATATTTGAACCAGGTAGAATTCACCACTCTGTTTTGATCAAGAATGCAATTTAATGTAATATTCTTTTGAAGTTGATATATTTTCACAAAATATTGCAAATTTTGTCAAAAGGTAGTTTTCTGGTGGAAAAAATGCTGCCCTGGCAGATTCCTCACAAGCACTGCATTTAAGTACTTACAAAAAAATGCAATGAGTATCTAAAAAAATTCCTAACCTCTTCATACGAACTTGGATCTTTTGTCTCACCAAGGAGTCATAAAGAGGGTGGTTAACCCATGAGCTGCATTCCTCAATGACACACTGACCTGCTTGGGAAGGCAGGATACACACCTCCTACACTTGCCCATATAGCTTCTACTGCATCAGCCAAGCAGCAACTGCATATTCCAAGGACAAATTTCCAGAGGTAACAGAGGTAGTAGTGAAGTCAGATGCGGAGCCAATGCTAAGAAAAGTAAGAATTTGACTCACTTGCTGAAAGTATTTGATCAGTCCTGCTCCCTGTCTGAGACCCATGTCTTCCTGGGTGTGTTTAATGTAGTCATCTTGTTTTTTTGCAGGTAATTGTGGGTTCAAGACATGTGTATGTCCTCTAGAGACATTCTCTTCTTTTATTATTTTTATTTTTAAATGGAAATTGAATTTAAACAAGGAGCTACCTTTTCCCACTCTGCAGTTAAACACAAAGGCTTCGTAAGTTTAAGATACGTACATGTTGGTTTAAAACTTCAGGCTTCAAGATTTGTATGTAATTATGTTATGATCTCAATGAACACAGACTGCTTATTGTGTTCTTTATTGAAAATTCTCTATCCAAATTGAGTTTGAGGTTTCTCATTGCCACAAGATATATAATTCTTTCCTTGACCACACTCTTATTATTCTGTTTGTTGTTTGGGATTTTTTTTCTGTAATGAGCTAATAAGAGGGATGGTTGCAAAATGAGTCTACAGGTTTCGTGTAAAGCTACTGCAGACAGTTGAAGCCATTTCTAGCTTAATTGATTGAGATGCATGACAAGTTTCAGATCAGAGTTCCATTTTGTGAAGTAGTTACATGCATTGGCAGATGATGGATAGATAGATAGATAGATAGATAGATAGATAGATAGATAGATAGATAGATAGATGACCGAATTTTAATGGACCCTTGGAGCACTAGAACACTTAGCAACATTCTGAGTGAGCAGAAAGAAGCCTTTGCCACTGACAATTCCTCATATTTTATCCTTGTTCTATAGGATACAGACAAGTCCTATAAACAAGACTTTTAAGCAAATTGAGGTATCCAAATCTGCTTTCTGTTGAGGTTTACAAATATATTCCCCTCTGAAAATTCTAGGTTTTGGATGGTTACTGTATTTATTTCAAGAAAAATATTGAAATGGCAGATTAATCGCTTAGATGATACCTACATTTCAATACTTAATAATGCATGTGTCTTAAAGGAGTTGATTTACCTTAATGGCAATGACACTCTAAAATGTACCTCATCATGTGTCTAAATGGAGGAGGACTAGGTACTACAGTCACACTAGGTACTGAAGACTTTTTCTAGGCACAACTTTAAAAAAAGGGATTGTTCTTATTTGAAAACTGAAATGCCTGTTAAAAGCCCATTAAATGCTAGAGATCCCTTCCAAAAGGTAATGTTCACAGTTTTACAGGGAAAAAAACCACAAAGAATAATATTAACTGGGGGCTAAAAACTGACGCAAGAAGGATGAGTGGTTCTTGTGGCTGTAAAGCTTACACTGTCAAACATTGCAGAAGCACTATCTGATAACAACTGTATCCCACTCTCATATACTCTCTAATCTATGTGACAGCTGGTGCTGTTGTAATGCAGACTCTTGGTTATCCCAAAGGGAAAACTGAAGGTTTGAAAATACCATTGCAGACCCCAGCAGTACAAATGTACGAACAAACTTTCTTGATTTTCTAGGGGTTTGGCACACATGTAGCATGGCAGGTCCCCATTGCTCCCTGCCTCTGCCCTTCCAGGGCACCTCCCAGGCAGCTCTTCCCTTACAGAAATGTACAGACACATATTAGAGCAAATGTTCTCCAAGTGTGACAACTGATTACTATCTGACTTGGCCTTGGTACAGCCTGAGCATGTTAAGACCTGATAGCATTTCAGTGTTGTAAAAGGAATTCTATGTGCAGTGAGGGCATGCCTCCTAAACTTCACTGAAAGTTGGTTTGGGAGAGATCTGCAAGCCAGTATCACAGAAAATTAATGCATGGTAATAGGAGTAGTGTAGCACATGTAATCCTAGCTGAGTTCATTAAAAAAAGAAAAATATAGCGATTGTTGCAGAAACTGACATTGTACTTGCTAACTCCCAGTTCTACTCCCTGGCTTTCTGGCTGACCACTGTCTGTCATCTGTCTATTTAGGAAAGTGGACATGAATTAGTTAAGTCTGTGAAGTTGTTATGTATATCTTAAAGGAAGTTAAACCTCCAATTCAGTGCTCTCATATAGCCTTAAATCTCTATAGCCCAATCTTCAAGAGTAAAATGATGATATTTAGCTCTCTTTAACAAGGATAATTTATCCTACCCTAGCTGTCGTTCTATCTTCTGTCAAGTTTTTGCAGAGCTCTAGTCATATTCTCCTGCATTCTGGTCCTTTCAGAATGTGAGGAGAATGAGGAAGTTCAGATGTGAATCCTTTGTGAATGCAAAACGAAAGCCCCTTCCCCAGGGCCTCTTCACTGCCCACCCAGACCACGCAAATGTTTATTGGGATGTGTGAAGGGTTAAGAATTGTTCTTCCTGCATAACAATGTGCATTTATCTGTTAATCCTTCATGCTCTATTCCTAAAACGTCAAAAGCATTGTTTGAGCC